AAAGAAAGAAAGAAAGAAAGAAAGAAAGAAAGAAAGAAAGAAAGAAAGAAAGAAAGAAAGAAAAGAAAAGAAAAGAAAACTGTGTTTTAGACTTTGGCATAGTGTAAACATCAGTAATCCCAGCACTGAGGAGGCTGAGAATCCTGTGTTCAAAGCCAGCAAGGGCTTCATAATGAGACTCTGTCAGAAAGAAAGGGGGAGGAGGAGGGAGAGAAATGAGAAGAAGTGTGTTTGGTTTCTAGAGAGGTTATACGGCCACGGCCACGGTGGTGTGAATTGTCACAGACTGCCTCTTCAGAAGGACATATCCATGAAGCTGCCATTTTGCTTTATTTTACTGGGAAGCTGCTCGGCAAGTCGACATAACTTACTCACACTATGGCGTAACTCAGCAGTCCTTTTTTGAGGGGCAATATCTTAGCACCCAGACCTTTCTTAAGTGTCTTGTGTTTTCTTCTGGGCCAATTTTCTGCAGGATGGATGGGCTTTGAACACAGCAAACACAGCAACCTTTGTCGTTGAATTTGAGGCGCAGAATTCCTTAGGATGAGGTGGCTCGTTTCCACTCTCCTGCCAGAATGGGAATGACTTGTGTCTCTTGCTCTTGCTCCAGAGAGTCACAGACCCTTGGCTATAATCAAGTAAGGCGAGAACATCTAGACTGCAGTCTAGTTAAGGAATTTTTACCTCCTGGTTATGGGGAGAGAAATTAAGATCTGGGAAGCTTCTTGGCTCATTCTGGCCACACTGTTGGCTAACATTACCTAGCGTTGTGACTCAGGCCTTAAACTGACCCATAAGCTGGCCTGCCTTTCCCTACACAGCACACCCATCACTTGTGTCATCTCTGTCACAACTCCACACCATCCACCACCTGGATTTTCCTTTTCTTTCTTTCTTTTTCTATCTTTTATTTTAGGTAAAGTCTCACTAAACTAGGTAACCCACACTGCCTGCTCTTCATTTTTAATTGATTTTTTTTTACGTTATCATACAAAATAATGAGCTCATGTCATCTTTATGTTGCTTCTGTTTGTTTTTTTGAGGTTGTTTTTTTGTTTGTTTGTTGTTTTTTGGAGAGAGGGACCGTTAGTGTGCTTGTCTGAGATGGTCTCACATCACCGAAGCCTTGAGTTTGCTGTATAGGCAAAGATGAGCCTGACTTTCTGATGCCCCTGCCTCTGCTTCTGGTTTTACGTGTTTGCAGGGTCTGTGACTGGAGCCAGTGTTTTGTGCATGCTAAGCCAGCTGTGTATGTACCAACCCAAGTTTGGGAGGTTTTGAGACAGAATCTCACTTTGTAGTCTGCCCTGGCCTTGGCAATCTGTCTGCCTCTGGCCACCAGGTGCTGGGTCTGCAGGTGTGATCCCCTACTCACAGCCTTCCTGTGATTATTAGAAGTATTTTTCAGTTAAGCTCACTGACACATACCTCTAATTCCACTACCTGGGAGGCCGAGACTGGACGATCCTGAGTTTAAGGCTAGCCTGAGCAACAATCTTGAGACTCTGCCTCAAAAACACCACCACCACAGCCGAGGCCACCACAACCACCACACAAGCATTTTCCTTCAAACTGTTGTCTCCATACCGAGTTCCCTACAGCCTGGATCATCTTAGAAGCTCAATCACTTCTCTGGCCACGCCCAGTTTCCCGAGAAAGACTGGGATTTTGTTGCATCTGTATACTCTGTGTCTGTTTCCTTAGGCAGCAAGTGTCTATATTGGTTCTCATGGGCTCTTTAACACATCTCCACTTGATTGCCTCTCAACTGAAAGGATGAAACAGTGAATGCTTAGAATACAAACAGGCCCCTAGAGTTAGAGAAAAGGGAAATGCCATCTCTTCTCTGCCTCCCATGTTCCCCTCCTGTGTTTTCCTTGTGACCTTCGTTGCCCTTGCCTTAGTCAAACTTTGCTTCTGTTCCTCCCCACTCCTGGGAGATTTTTGTCTTGGTGACCCAGTCATTTGGATTCTTTGCTTCAGTCTGGAAGAGGCAATGCAGAAAGGGGTGTTGGAGCCAAGCATGTCTGCCAGCATGGTGCTGCATCTTGACATACGGTTGGGAGGATGCCCCGCCAAGGGGCTCATCAGCCTGGTGGAAAAACAAGACTAAGCCGGAAGCCAGTGTGCAGGCTTCTCGGGTGATGTAAGACTTGAAGTATCCTTGAAAAAGAAGTCAGCAGCCGGATAAGGTGTTGCTCGCCTGTGATCCCAGCACTCAGGGAGGCGGACTGGTCTACAAAGTGAGTCCAGGACAGCCATAGTTACACAGAGACACCCTGTCTCCAAAAAAAAGAAAAAAGCCTCTGAAGCCAGGCAGCACTCAGCAGGCTGAGGCAGGTGAATCTCTGAATTCAAGGCCATCCAAAATAAAACAAAGAAAGAACAAGCCAGCTCAGGATTTCTAGATTGGGACAGGGATTGGGGACAGAGATGGGTAGTATTATAGGTGACAAAAATGACATAGGCTGCAAAAGGAAGTCAATGAGCAGAATAGGGAAATTTTCTTCTGTTAAAAGAACCTGAGTGAGCCCAGCACTCTGGAGGCTGAGACAGGGGGAGAGTTCTGGGTCAGCCTGGACTACTAGGCAGAATCATGGGGGGGGGTCTTTGGAAAATTCTGGAGTTTTTCGAGTATTACAATCTGATTTCTTCATAGTGTTGGAGTTCTAGGCTATACACCCTCTAGAGCTCTGACTCCTGCAGGGCTGAGAGCAGATTCCTTAACACTTTTAAAGAAAAGGCTTTATGGTTTGTTCTGCTGTGACACTTAGGCACAGCCAGGAAGTGTTCTGTCAGGAAGCTACACCCGAAGCTAACACATTTTATAGGTTCGTTTTACGTTTAGTTATACATATATGTGTTTGTGAAGGTGGCATGTTGGGGGTTAGTACAAGTGTGTGCCAGTGTCCGTAGAGGCAAGGGTGTTGGCTGTCCCTGGAGCTGGACTTAGAGCTGCCTGGTGAGAATGCTAGGAGCTGAACCTGCTCCTCTGCTAGAGCAGCAAGCACCCTTAGCCACTGAGCCAACTCTCCAGCCCCTCAAATTTCACTTCTTGGTCGGGTGGGCACAGACACACTTGTAACACCAGCACTCAGGAAGCTTTGGCAAGATCTTGACTTCCAGGCTGTGTGAGGCTCCACCGTAAGAACCTGTCCTACACTGCACAATCGCTTATTGATCATAATTTTACACTCTGCTGGGTCTCCCTCTCACAGTGGGCTCAGTTCCCCCGTTCCTGGCACAAAGCTAACTTTGGATCTGTCTCCCTTTTTCCCGTCCTATGGAGATTTCTATGGTACTTTTCCTGGGCAGGACGTCTCCACACAAATCACAGTTGCTACTGATGTAGATCCAAGCACATCACCGTTCAGTCTGGGCACCCAGGGGGCAGGGTGCACTCACCGTGCAAGCTTTACAGTCCAGCTCTGACCCGGGTCGTGGGAGGTGAAGGGAGGGAACTCACTTGTCCTCCGACCTTCACCCATGTGTGCCCCCACACAAATTGATGCTAAATAAAAAAGGAAACGAAAAATCATCCAGCCGGGCCTCCTGCCTTTAGTTCCAGCACTCCCAAAGCTGAGACAAGTGACCTCCGTGAGCTCAAGACCAGCTTGCTCTACACAGGGAACTCCAAACCAGCCCTCCAAACCAGCCCCCTCAAAGTTTGGTCCGAAAAGTCTAGAGTTAGGCCCTTGTCAAGGGACACAAAAAACAAAATTCCAGGTCGGATAATAATAGCTAGGAGAGACTATCTTTGGGAAGTCTCAAAAGGTCACTGCTGGTGGTGACCAGGGGCAGCTTGTCGGAGGACACTGAAAATCACTCAGTTGTTCGTTGTCATCTACCGGGCTCCATCCTCCTCCTCGGGCAGAGGGGGAGGTCCCTCTCCTAGCCTCCCTGCCTAGCCCTGGCCTGGGAGAACTTAAGGCTGATGGAAGGAGATGAAGACCGCAATGCCAGGCAGCCGGATGCGCCGCGTTTTTCTCACTCCTTAAGCTGGGCAGTGAAAACTGACTACAGCAGCAAGAGCAAGTAATGAGAGAGTCTCCCCCGTGTGGTGGAGGCAAGAACTGCACATTCCTCCAGCCTCCACCCCCCACAGCCATGCAGAAGTTTCAGTGTGTCTAAGCTGAGGAAACCCAAACCACGGGCATTGGCATTGGGAAATCTTCACATTCCCTACAAATCAAGAGGCGTGAATTCCCCTGTACTGAAGCACTGAGCTCAGGGACGAGGGTACCCAGCAGAAACCTGGCATCCAGCACTGAGCACCACTGTGCCTCGGGGAAAGAAGATGGAGCACTCCCTGCTCAGAGCTGTGGGGAGGAGGGGTGAGCACTCCTTTGGCGAGAGGAGGAGGCCTTGGACCGTGCCTTTCGTTAAATACCATTGGATTGGGGGCGTGGCTCAGTCTGCCGAAAGCTTATCTAGATTCGGGAAGCCTGGGTTCTATCCTCAGCACTGCAGAACGGTGGATTATGCAGCACACATGTAATCTAGCACTTGGGAGGTCAAGGCAGGAGGATCAGAAGGTCAAGGTGATCTTCTACATTGTGAGTTTAAGCCCAGCCTTGACAACGTGAAACCTCTTGAAATAAAAGAGAAGAAGAAGAAGAAGAAGAAGAAGAAGAAGAAGAAGAAGAAGAAGAAGAAGAAGAAGAAGAAGAAGAAAGATCCTCACATAGAATCACCTAACCAAAGGAAGGACTGCTATTTTGTAAACTCACCTATGGCAAATGTCACTATAACTGTAATCTTTACAAAGTAACAGAAGCAAGACAAGGCAAAGCCATGCCTGCTGCCTGTGAAGGGCCATATAACTGCTTGCTTAGTACACAGTAGTGAACTTGTGGTTCTTCTTCCTGGGGTTCAGAGTATACACCCAAAAGCTCACAGATCCACAGTGGACATCTTGATAGAGTTCTTAGGTTTTCATCTCCATTTGTAACCACTCCCTGTGCCAAAGGAGGGCCACAAGGTTAGGAAGATCACAATGTGGAACCAGGCCTGTTCACGCAAGCTCTCGAGGTCCAGGTCTGACCTTGGCTACAGAAACAAATGTCTGCTGAGTCCCTGGAATGTGCTGGAATCCTGCTGGGTAAGCCCATTGCCCCTCAACTGAAAGTCCACTGCAAATAGTCAAGCTTCAGGAGGACGTTTGGAGTCACCTGTGGTTTATTGTGGGTACGAGCTATCGTCCTTCTGTCTGCTCTCTCTGTCTTCCTCACTGTTGTATCTTTATTATGCAGGGCTAAAAAGGGTATATTATGTTGTAGATTATAATGGCCGCCCCTGGAGAAGGCAACCAGCCCAGTGATGAAGGGACACCCCAGCCAGTGGTCCAGCCGCAGCAGCCTGAGTCCCGGGTGGCCCGCAGACGCCTGTCCCAGGCCCGCCATCGAGCCACCCTGGCAGGGCTCTTCAACAACCTTAGGAAGACAGTGTACTCCCAGTCTGACCTCACAGCCTCAAAGGTACAGGGGCTCGGGGATGGCCAAACAGTTCTCCACACAGTAGGGCTGCCGACCGAGGGAGGCGCCAGCCTCGAGCTGCCAGCCCTGCTGCCCTCAGGCAGACTGTCAAAGCCATGCTCCCCCACCAGCAGCGGGCAGCCCGACACCAAGAGGGAAATTACGGGTCTGGGGGAGGCCATGTGGTTACTTGGTGGGCAACAGTCAGCCTCTAACAGGATGCGCCAGGACCCTGTGCATCTACACACACACACACACACACACACACACACACACACACACACCATACACGCGTGTACAATACTACAACTGTACACACACGCACACGCCATACCACACACTGGCACACTCAGTGTACTGTACCTCCCGGCACACACTAATCTCTTCCTCCTTTTTTTGTTGCTGATGTTTGAGGCAGTCTCCATGTAGCCCAGGCTGGCCTCAGACTTTCCGGATATTAGTCCAGGCTTGAAATCAGACCTCCTGACTTTGCCTCCCCAGTGCTAGGAAGGTGTTGATACCACTGAGAGTGAAAACCATTACCCCAAATTCTTTGGTCAAATTTAGCAAGCTTCATTTTCTGTCAAGACAGGGCTGTCTTCTTAAAGTGGGGTTTGAAAACACAGCGTAGAACACAGAAGGGAAGGTGTGGTTTATATAGTCAAGGCCAGGGTTTTTTCAAGGATTGGGTATTTGCAGAGGAATTTTGGTTACATGGGAACTTGGCTGAACATTTTTAAATCATTTGGCAGAACATCTTATCAGGGTATATTCTAGGTCAAACTCCATAGGGTGGTGATCATGTCAAATTTCAGAAACAGGTTAAAGTATAGTCAAGTTGAATTTTGCAGGAAACAGAAATGAATTTGTTTTGACCTCATAACAAAATGGCTTCCACCCTCACTCCATCTGATGGCGTCAGGCTGGTCCATCAGAAGACGGTTGTGCACCACCCAGCTCTTTTCCTTCTCAGCTGTCTTTTTAGCTGCTAATTAACAACACGCTAATTATTTAGCTGGCAAAGATTGGAGTGAGGCCTGGGAGATGGGGTGTTAGTAGAAGAAACCAATTTCATCCATCATCATAGGAATATTACAGGAGGCCACAGTGGAGATTTTCTGTATTTCCTCATCTTCTTCACAGAGACTGGAGGGGCAGAGGAACGTAGGGAGGAGGGGAAAGGAAGAGATGCACCCTCTGGTAGAAGGCAAGGCCAAAAAGAAGCCATGTTCCCCCTCCAGGCCTGGCTGACTCTCTTTCCACGTACCCCTCTCTGGACTCTTTGTAGCCCTGTACTATTTCCAGCTAGGTGACTTCCTTCCTGGGATGTACCTTCAGCAAAGCAGCAATCATAAAGCTTTAAGGTTTTCTGTTAATAGAATTTCTAGAGGGTTCTCGCTTGGGGTCGGGCTAGGAGACAGAAGAGCTCCTGAGAAGGCCCAGGCTCTGTGAAAATTTTAAAGGCAATCTGACTGCTTTGTATGGGGCTCCTTTGTATAAGCCACCTGTACTCTTTCCACCAGCAGGAATTCCACACAGACCCTTGGAAAAGGGTGGGGCTGGTGAGTAGTGGAGGAAAGGCAAGTTCAGAAACTCAGGATGCAGGAGTGGGTTCTCTACTGATAAGCGCTCTCCCCTGGGCACAGCTATGTTCCACAGCCATTGAATAGAGGCACTTGCTTTGTGCTCCTGAGAGGCCTAAAAACCTAAAGTCCTTGTCAATAATTAATGGAGAAGTGTTCATAGACTAACAGGACAGCAAACAGAAAACAGGCACCATGGCCTTGCCGTAAAAAGTGCAACTAGATTTAGAGAAAAGCCATATATGCTACAGCACCTCCCAAAACATTGTGTCTTCCTGCTTTAGCATGTAAGGACAAGGCTCTTGATTAGTCCCAGTAAATGGGAGGCAAGTTTCTTCTGGCCTTCAGTTACCACATCTGTTAAACAAGGGAATACTAATGGCTTCCTCATAGGCCTGGATGGGCTTTCCAAGACTCACAGGAAAAGATGAGCATTGCATCAGAGTCTCAAATGCTTACACCCTTGTTTTCCAGTATATCGTGCTATTTATTCCTCACGGCTCTGGTTACATCATTCCAATTTCACTGGGAAACTGAGGCTCTGAAAAGTTAGATTGTCTGTGTTGAATGGCACAATCGCAACTGCCTGGCAACCCAGCTGCCCACTGTTTTCTTTCTTTCTTGGTTACTTGAGGGACAATCCGGGCATGAGGCTAATGACTGGCAACGTTTTGTGATTTGGTTTTGTTTTAGGCTTTTGTTTTGTTTTGTTTTAATCTTTCCAAGGCCACCATAACAAGACAGCAAACATGGGGTGGGAATGCCTAAGACAAGAGCAGTGAATTGACAAGGTCAGGCTCTCCTTTATACCTCTACTGGCTTCTGGCACCTTCCACCCGCTCTTGCCATTCCTTGGCTTGACTGCCAGGGGTAGGACCACACGTGTCTTTTTCTTTCTGGTGTTGGGGTTTGGGGGAAGATAATTCAATCAGAACCAAACCCTAAAAGAATGTGAGCCTACGAAAAGCACTCTGAAAGGTAGGACAGAGAGCCCAGCAGGGGGAGGTGGTGGCCTGAGTTCAATCCCCAGAATCCTCTCCTGGCAGAATGAGAGAAGCAGTCCCTACCAGGTGTCCTGTAGCACCTACAGGGACACTGTGGCATACCCCGACCATAAAATACATGTTAAAGATGGAAACAAAACTACATAAAAATACTGCAGAAAAATAGCAATAGCAATGTGTCTTGCTTGCCTGATGCAGTAGGAATTTAACACATGGGGGAGGGTGTATCTTGGGTGGTAGATTGCCTACCTAGCATGCACGAAGCCCTGGGCTCTGTCGCCAGCACTGTGAAGCCAGGCATGGTGGTGCACACCTGTAATCTCAGCACTCTGGAAGAATCAGAGGTTCAAGGTCATCTTTAGATACACAGGATGTACAAGTTGACCATGGGCTGCATGAGACCTGGCCTCAAAGGGAGGGAAAGAGTGCTGGAGAAGAGCCCAGAGGTCCTGCTGAGCCCAGGCAGGCCACTGGCTCTGGACCACAGTGTCAGACTGATACAGCTGCTCTAACAAAGCATCCTGGGAAATTCATAAGCCATAGAAATGCATTGCTCACAGCTCTGGAGGCTAGACTCTTCTAAGTTCAAGTTGCCAGCAGATTTAGCGTCTGGAGAGGGCTAGCATATCTGTTTCATATAGAGTGCATGTCCTCTATATGAAATCTAGCTGTGTCCTGACATGGAAGAGGTGAACAAGCCCCCTTGGGCCTCTTTTCTCAGGGTGTTAGTCTCACATGCAGGGTTTAGTCTGATGATAATTGCCTCTCCAAAGGCCCTACCTTTGAACACCTTCATATTAAGGTTAGGTTCAACATATTTAGAAGACAAACATGTAGACCACAGCAGCCAGAGCATCATCCTGTCGTGCCAGGACAAGACCAGTGGAGTGTATAGGACAAAGGATGGAAGGAAGGGAAATTTTCTGAGTTCAAATCCACAAAACATTTGCTATTTTTAGATAATGTAAAAATATTTTAATTATTTTGTTCTTTTTTAAAAAAACAAAACAAAACAAAACAGGGTCTCATCTATCCTAGGCTGGTACAGAGGTCTAGTGGGCTTTTGTGCAAGCCTGAGGCTGACATTCAGCCTCCGGAGCCTCCTTGTCACAGTATCTTGCCTGCAAGCAGCCTACACTCCAGCCACTGCAGTCCTGTCCCAGCACGGCTTGTTTTCAGATACTTTGGTATTTCAGTGGGCGTCCATGTATAGCATCCAAACGCACCTCCATGCCTTCTATGCGTTACAGCAGACGTGCTGTCCACTCCACAGACAAGGCCAAGGATGGGCCTTGCGTTGAGTGAATGCGGCCTCAATCTGAGAAGAGGTTTGCTGGGTCAAAAAAAAAAAGTCTCAGCAGTGAAAGGCTGCCTTTTCAACAATGTCTGTCTGTATCCTCAGTGGCAGGTGCTGAATAAGACGAAGATTCATATTCAGGAACTGGAACAAACCTTGGACAATTTGCTGAAGCTCAAAGGCAAGAGACCCCTCCTGGGAGAAGGCTTCCTCGGGTTTTCTGTTGAAGGCAAAGACTAGGTTACACGGAATCAGCAGATACGTGTTAAGAACCACGGTGTATCAGGCACCGTGTTGGGCCATAACTGGCTCCCATTCCAGAGAACTTGCAGCCTGGCAGCATGAGCCAGGGTCTCCAGGCTGTGTGGGACATGCCAAAGACACCCAACCTCAGCTTCAGAGAGGAAGCAAACAGTTCTGGACCTGAGCTCTCCCCTCATGTCTTGGGGAAGTGGGAAATGGACTCTGCACTCTCCAAACCTAGGAGGATCTGGGTTTTCTGTGTTCCACCCCCACCATAGGCTCCCTGAACTAGACAGGCAGGAGAGACCCAAAGGTCTGTTTTCTCTTTATGACTCTTGCCCTCATCTCCACTAGGATCATTCAACCTAGAAGATGGGAATGCCAGCAGCTTAGAGGAGGTCAAGGAAGAATATGCCAAAATGTACTCTGACAATGACAGGTAAGACCTGGCCGGCACCAGGAGCCGGGAGCATGTTGTCTTTCACCCGGAAGCCTTTGTTGCTGAGTTACAGCAGCCTAAGTAAGCATGCCCATCAGGGTTCCTGCTCACTCCCTTACAGCTGTCTCACTCAGGGGAGACCTCAGTTCTCCTTTATCCTATAACATGGCTTGGATAGTCTTTCTAAATGATCCATGCCTATTACAGAAATCAGAAGAGTACAGAAAAGCAGGAAACTATGTCTCATCTCATCTCTCTGAAAAGTCATGTTAACTGTTGGACAGCCACCCATCTGGTATTTTTAATTTTTCCTACTACTTTAGAGAAATGAGATCATGGATATCTTGACCATGTATCTTGACGTTTGTGTGTGTGTGTGTGCGCACACGTGTGTGATATTTATATTGGCTGACATGTATCAACTAATAGATTTATTTATTTATTATTTATGTGAAAGTGAAGAAAAGACCAATCTTAGCCTTTTCAAATCTCATGGAAATATAAGCCAAATTAGACGTCTTAGAGAGAGAATTGTCTTTGGGGAAGACAGGTGTTACAGATGTGGAATAGTCATTGCTGACGTCAGTCAAACTTGAGCAGAGAAACCGGTTTGAGAAATGTCTTTCTCCTCCTTTAGTTCCACTGTTGGTTACTTTTCTCATCATTGTAGCCTGGATAACAACTCAGAGGAGGAAATCTTTATTTTGCTCACAGTTGTAGAGAGCTCAGTTCAGGGTGGCTTGGCCCCATGAGCTTGAGCAGGATATCATGGCAGCAGGAATGGATGGAAGAGGAGAGCCACTCCCCTCACAGAAGACAGGGAGCAAAAGAAGGATGAGAAGGGGCCAGGGACAAGATACACCCAAAGCCCAACCTCAGTGTTCCACTTCTCTAGCTAGGACGCACCATCTTATGTTTCCAGGAACTCCCAAAACAGGACCAACAGAGACCAAGCCGTCAACACATGAGACTCCTGGGGAGGAAGGGGGCAGGGCTTCATATCCAAACCATGACCGAGGTCAAGTTCTATGTTTAAGTTTCTGGTTGCCTTGCTTTTCATGCATATTGTGTAAGTTTGTTCTCTGTTCTGCATTGCTGTCAAAAGATGACATTGATGCCCTTTCCCTTGCATGGGGCCCACAGGCTTCAGAGCTACTCTGACTATGTCTTGGACTTGAGGGCAACTGTCAGGCCCCTGCTGTCTCCAGTGGTCCAATGGCACATCCATCTCCAGGGGCATGATATATGTCCAGGTTGGCCTCTGACGAGAACCAGAGTGCAAGCCATGTTTACCCAGAGAGGGCTACAAAGTACTTGCTGTTACAGCCTATCAAAATCTGTCTGCCTACATGAAGTGATGTTGTTCAGGGTTCTTTTGGTGTGAACACTTAGAACTTCATTTTCTTCTCTGTACTTTTTTCTCTGGTTTTCAGAATTTTTTTAGGTTAAATCCTTCAAATTTGTTGTTTCATTTTTATTTTATGTGGGTGGATGTTTTGCTTGCATGTATGCCTATGTACCATGTGCGTGCAGTGTGCCTGGAGCCTGGGTGCTGGAAACCCAGGATTGAAGTTATAGATAGTTAAGAACAGCCATGTGGGTGCTGAGAATTGAACCCAAGTCCCTTGGAAGAGCAGCCAGTGCTCTTAAACACTGAACCATCTCTTCAGTCCTGTTTTTCAAATTCTTAAACAATGAATGTGTATTATAAACTGTGGTAAAAATTATTAAAAATATATATTATTGGCTATATAACTATTTCATATTAAATTAATACAATATTAAATATTAACTATATTATAGCCTATTGGATCAGTTTATTTAAAATCAAGTTGTACCATGTGACAACAATTAAAAGTGTGTCAGGAAGAAAGAAACTACCTCTGATCTCTGCATACAGTCTTTATCATTTTTATTTTGTACACAGAAAAGTAAAATGAGATAAGCACGTGAATTTTCGTCTATAGCCTGTGGACATGGTAAGGTGACTGAACTTCAAATGCTGTCCGAGCCATCTTGTATTCCTAAGGGCCGCTTAGTTATTATCTAGATATTTGGATTGTATAGTTGGCAAAGCTGTGTTATGAATGTGTGTGTGTTCCCTGGCAGTGCTTGCCTCACACTCTCAATTCTGTCTCCCCCAGTGTGCTCCTAACCAGTTTCCCTCAGAACAGCTCCCTGCCATGGTGTCCCCCCCAGGCTGTTGGGCAGGGACCTGTAGAACGAGAAAATGGTGAAGAGAGAGAGGAGGAGAGGGACCAGGAAGAGAAGGAAGAAGAGGAAGAGGAGAAAAAAGTCGATCTCTCACATTCCTCTGCTACTCTGTTGCCAGACCTCCTGGAATTTGAACGGTGTGAAGAACCAGTGGGATGGTGGTTTACTCACATGGGGAGATTCTGTGGGGAAGGGAACAGACACCGCAGCTGGCCTGTGTGGCAGCCTCCACACACACGTGATTCGAACCGGGTTCCAAATCACTGAACTACAGGATTTCCCTGTGTTGAGCACCCCGATGGAGACAGCTCAGGGGCTGGGCAAACACCAGGAAAGTTACATCTGTATGGCAAATACAGTTTTTATTTAGAATGGGCATTTATTTGGGGTCCCTGGGGAAAGGGTGCTGCTGGCAGTAATTTTTAAGTAATCTACCCCTCCTTCCACCACACACACGCCTCAGAAAGCTGCTCTTGGGAGGTAGAGAACGAGGCCACATCTGCTCCTATGGAAAGATGGTGCCTGGCTTGTCCAGACGTCTAATGCCTCCTCCACAGACTTAAGACCCTCTGGAAGCCAGGCATGGACTGGAGACAAGGAGGTCCACTCCATAGCTGAGACTTTCAGGCCCCAAATTCAAGCAGGAGTGTGACAAGCCAGCTACTTCATAGCCTCAGAATATCCCCAGAGTGAGGAGAGCTAACGTAGCCAAGCCTTGTACAAGGCAGAGAGCTTCAGGAGCAGAAGAGATGGGAGTGACAGAAATCTGTGTCCTCCATGGCCTTCAGGATGCCATCTGCACTCATGGGGCTGGGGGAAGACAGAGACAAACCATGCTATTGATAAAACAAGAAATGGTCGCCATGACTGTGGCCTGAGGGACACACACGTCTGTTCCAGGTACCTCAACTTTTACAAGCAGACGATGGACCTCCTGACCATGAACAGCATCATCTCCCCACAGGAAGCGACACTTCCCATTGTCTCCGCGGCCATCTCCCACCTGTGGCAGACCCTCTCTGAGGAGAAAAAGGCCAGTCTCCTGCAGGTGTGGGAGCAACAGAACAGCAGCTTCTCAGACCTCACCCAGGCCTGCCTAGAGCTGGCCTGTGTGGAGGGCAGCGTGAAGGACAGTGGGGTGGACAGCCAAGGGGCCAGCTGCTCACTGGAGTCCACCCCAGAAGAGGTGAGCAGACCAGTGGGGTGGTCCTTTGCCTTGACTTTCTTAATGCCCCTCAGCAGGTGATTCATGACAGGGCCTTGTATATGTGAGGACAATGAGTGGTCTGCCATTGCGTGGACTAATTATAGGAGGTTAGCTTAGGGAGGAGCGCTCTGTCTCAGATCTGTGGGAAGGAACGCCAGCCTGACAGACAGGAGCACGGGCCCTTCCATGCGTCCTTTCCAGATTGTCCTTGCAGTGACAACAGTAGTTAAGGAAGACAGCAAAAGTCTCCAGAAAGTCAGCTGGAAGGCCAACATCTCACAGGCTTGTGTTCCAGGGGGCCAAATGAGGAAGACAATAGAGCAAATGTTTGCCCTCTGGGACAGAACCACAATACTGGGGGGGGGGGGGGGGAGAGCCCGGGCAGACCTGCCAGCACCTGTACAGTCAGGGCCAGAGAAGCCCTCTTGTCCCCTCAGGGAGGTAGAGAAAGGAAGCAGATCATACTTTAATTCAAGTTTATCTCCTGCAGTATTTGGAGCCTTCTTACGATAAATAAGTATTAAGTCTTCTAATCTGTAATTCAAATTTACCGAGGTACCCTGTCTTTTTATTTGCTAAGTTTCCCAATCTGAACTGTAAATCACATTTGAACAGTTAGTATTCTGTTTGAACACAAATTCAGTAAAAAGCAGGACCAGAAACTATGTAAACAACAAGAGTCTAAGCCAGAGGTTATTCTCATATGATTAATCATTGTAACTTTATCTTCTGACATGATGAAGAAAATGACTGCAAAAAAAAAAAAAAACAAAAACAAAAACAGGTCAGTGTGTCAGCAGGGAGTATGTCTGGAGGGATAGTTACTCACTGGTTCCTAATTCACCTGGTTCAGAACTCTCCTGATATTCAGAAAGTTCTTTTATAAAGCAGACAACTGTTAATACCGTCAATGTGTTTAAGTTTCACATACATACATACTTAACATGCATAATACATACAGATGTACATATATACATACTTACATATTATGTACATGCTTACATACATACATGCATGCATGGTAGTTACATATATGCAAACATACATACTTACAGATGTACATACATATATGTGTGGATACTTACATATATGCATACATACATATATGCATGCATGCATACTTAGATTTTAGAGAGTTTTGGACTGGATAGACATGTGACTGTAGCTCTTGTGACCTGTAAGGAGTACCATGCTGAGCTTGCCAGGGAATGAGCAGGCTGTGGAAGTCAGCACCTGTATTGCAGCCCTGTATTCAGGTACCCAGGATGAGATGGGGTTGTGTAGACTTGAACAGATCTCCAGCTGGGAGGTTTGGACCGGCCTTTCCTGGCTGCAGCCCGAGGCTTTGGCTACCGCCTCTCAGAGGAGGACAGCAGCGGTCCCCAGCTCTTTCTCTCCTTGGCGAGAGCCTATCTGCTGCTCTCGGCCGGTAACCCTGGGCACAGGGCTGACTACGGTGTTAGCTCTAACACAGGTCATTGTGTGGTTCCTTTCAGATCCTTTTTGAAGATGCTTTCGATGTGGCAAGTTTCCTGGATAAGAGTGAGGCTCAGCACATGTCTAACATCAGGTGAGGAAGGTGGTGTAGGAAAGGGTGTACCTGTGTGCGTGGATGTGAGATTATGTACGGGTGAGTATGCGGTGTACATGTGCACACATATGAAATTGTGTGAGCAAGCATGTAAGTGTGAGGCTGTGTTAGTGTGAGTGTGTGGGTGGGTGTGCATGAGTGCCTCATTCCTGGGGTGTTTACAGCTACTCTTCTGCATCCTGCAGACAAACACATAGTCCCCAGAGGAAGAAATTCATACTCCCTGGCCCAGGGCTGGCACGTATCCGGTTATATGCTCGGGTCTAAGAGCACAGCTCTTACTTGCCAGGCTTCCCCAGTGTGCCTTGGTTCTGCTTACGCCTGCTCTGGGCATCCTGACACAACACACCTTAAAAACAATGGGCACTCATTGCTCAGGGTTCTGGAGGTTGGCCGTTCAAGGCCAACCAGATCTCTGTAGGGCCCCTTTTACATTATAAGAGTCCTGACACCTTTCCATCATTCTGTGGGTTTGAATAGCCCCATCATTCATACTTACAAGAATTGAAGTTTTGGAGGGGAAAGACTAACCTTTAGTCTATGAGGCAAGCAATGGCAGTCAATCTGTGAGAAATGGGGCACAGAGAACCTGGGCCAACTTAGGAATGAGCTTGGAGTTGAAGGGATATCTAAGCAGTACAAAGAGAGGACTGATGGAACAGAGGAAGGAGGAGCAGAGGGCAGGACGGGTGCACCACAGTGAGAAGACATGAAGACGGAAAAGGTTTAAAGCAAGAAGCATCTTGGTCCATCAATACCAAGGGGGGCGTTTCCCAGAGTGGGCCAGCCCAGAACTGGAGGCCTGCATCTGCTGTTTGAGAAGTTGTGGTCATGGCTGACAATATGCCTGACATGTAAGTGTTTTTGCTAGGGACTGAGGGACATCCATGCCCTTATGACAGAGTAAACTGTCCTTTCAGTGGCAGCCTGCAAGGCGTCCTGGCAGCCATGACCTGGGTGGCATCAAGCAGAGCTTCGAGCTTCCTGAATGCACACCTTGTTTCCTCCATTCTGCCTGCCTCACCCAGCCCTCACCAGGCTTGGGGATTTACCAGGAGGTGATGCAGTATGAGCTCTTCCCACCTGCGTGTGGAGGATCATTTTGCAGCAAATGTAGAACCCAACATTCCTACTTCTAAGCTGGGTTTAGGTTGTGAGGACAACATTGTCAAGAAGCTGCCAGAGGCTATTGTCAAGAAGTCCTCGTTCTGCTGAAAGGACAAAAGAAACTATTAAAATGTCTTTTCCTGCCTTCCATGGAAAAGGATTCCTGAGCTAACTGGAACCTCCTTCGAGGAAGAACTGAGAGCAGGTCTGCCTTATGATACCCACAGCCTCTGTCCTGCAAGGCACTGGTTGCACAGGGCTGCTCCTAAAGATAGAGAGGAAGAAGCCCATGACAGAGAACTACTTCTTCTCCTCAAAGCTGAGTACCGTGGGGTGCTGAGTGGGAGCCACTAGCTGGCAGAACTCATTGTGTATGGATTCCCTGTGCTGCCTCAGATGGGCCCAGAACCATGGGTCCTGCTGCAGGAGCCTGAGAGCAAGAGGAGCTCTCATTCCTTCACTCAGGGTGACACAGCTTAGAACATGACCATTAAGACACAAGAGGCAGGCTTGCCATAGTACTTACCAGGCTTTCCAGATATGGCATTTCAGTGAGCTGGTACACATTTCCCAGGGACATCCCTGGGCTACTTGAGAATTCAACTGGGTGCTTAAAGTTTGCACAGTGAGCCAGTGTTTATGGCATGGGTGGTGGCAGGCCCAGGTGAAAGGTTAGGATCCTAAATGGTTTCTGTTTCTTCTACTGTCAGCTCTGTGTTTCCCAACTGCAGCTCAGAAAATACAGAGGAGAAATTTCAGCTCTACATACAGATCGTTGACTTTTTAAAAGGCCTTTGCTGTGTTAACACTCCATTAAACCAGGTAAGATAGAGTGGGATGATGGACCCTCTGCCCAGCATCTTTAGTGGGGAGGGCACTCTAGCTAACCCTGACTCCAACCACCTCAGGGGGTTTTCAGGCTCTCTGGTTTGGTCTAAGGTTATTCAAATTCATTCCAGTGCTTCCTGAACAGTGGAGGAGACCAGGGAAACTGAAGAAAGAGGCAGAGAGCTGTCCTCCAGGACAGATCGGCAAAGCCAGATCCCAGGGGCTGGTTCCTAGCAGGCACCCATAAACACTGTGTCAGCTTCTCTGTTTAGTCTTCTGCGAGTATGCAGTAGTATTTCTGGTCAGCTTTTGAAGGCTAACTTCTCTCTGAAAGCTGACACTGTAGCTAGTGGTGACACAAGTCACAGAACCTCAGTCAGGAGGCTGTTCCTGAAACTCATGGTGGGGGCTGTGACCACACCTCCTGAGGACAGGCCCTTTTGGATGCACAGCCATGACTTTCCTCACTAACTTAGCAAGATCCAGCTGTTTGTTTAAAGTAGAGCTATAACAATGACAGACACTTGCAGTGAGGGCACCATTTCCATGGGCAGAGCTATCCTCCAGCCCCTTTCTCACTGGTTCCTTCCTTCTGCCTGCTCACAGTTCAAGTCCCACTTGAAGTCAGTGTCTGTCCCTGCAGTCTATTTTCTTCTTCACACCAATACTCGAATGCCTATCCTAAAGCTACTGTCCCACTCTTTCTGTTGAATGCGATTAAATTAGTACGTTAGAAGAGTACACTTTTAAATTAGTACGTTAAAAGAGTACCCCTCCTGTGTATTACCGTGGGGTCTCACTAGCCATCCAGACTCTTGGTGCTAAAGGATCCTCATTCAGCTTTATGAAGGTAGGACCGTAGAACTTGTGTTTTGAAAGTGATGGGGCAGGAAGCCTTGTGCTCCGATAGCCTGGTGTGAAAAGGGAGCTTTCAATCTCTTTCATGAGGCACCTCCAGCTCTCTGCTGCCCCTTGTCACCTTCATGGGAAGGTTCTGATGAAGCTCTGTTGGCATGCACACAGCATCTCTGAAGAGTGGTGTAGAGCAGCAGAGAGCCCATGGTTCCAGCGGCCCGCCAGCATCTGGAAGGAAGTGTTAGCAGGGCGGGGCTGTTCCTGGACGCTCTTGTCTTCCTGTGCCTCGCTCTAACTACCGATGGCTTTGACAGTGCTCAGCATCTCCAGAGCAGGGGGTCACGGTGGGGGTTTGCAAAACCCACATCTAGGTGTCACCCTCAGGAGGCCTACCCTCATTAAGTGGTTGACCGCTATTAGGATCCAGAAGGATCAACCCTGATCTACAGAAAAGAGCAGGGGTCATTTTCTGCTTGGCAGAGAGAAGGAAATCAAAAACTCTGGAATTACTTTTAAGGAAGGGACACTAGGGAGTCCTGAGAAGTTGCCTTTGAAAAGAATGAGAAGTCTTTGCTAACACAGTACCCTTCCTTATTTCCTTCCTTCTTTCTTTTGGGTTTTTTTTTTTTTCATAATAAGTAACCCATCTACATGGTATGAAATTCAAAACTTACCAAAAGATATTGAATAAAACCTTAGTCTCTCTTGTCGTTGTGCTTGCTTTACTAGCCACTCCTTCCCAGAGGCAACACCATGACTGGTTTCCTGCACATGCATTCAACGGCAGTCTGCCAATATTTGTGTGTTCTTCCAAACATAAATGGGTGCCTGCTGTGCACAGTGCCTTGCCCTTAACTCTTTTCCTGACAGTCTGTACCACAGTTGAAGGACCATCACATTCCTTTCTTTAAAGCCAGCGCGAGGTCCATACCTCTATGCAGGGCACCATTATCTGTAGACGGGCATTTAGATTAAGCTGTAAGATTTCCAAGTATGGGGCAGGAGCCAAATATTCGATGCCCTTCCTGAAAGTTATAGAATGTTGTATTGAAATAACCATAACCCCTGAAGCTGCCTGAAGCTGCAGGGACCTTCTTATCTGCCTGGAAAGTCCTGGATCCTAATCTGCCGCCTCTTGCTTACTGATCCTCAGGAGCCAGAGCCTCCAGTGGATGATGACATGCTGCTGCTGAGGTGCCTGGAGACTTTTGATGATGAAGATCTGTAATGCAGATGGCCCGGCAGGAAACAATTAAATGGGAGGGGGTTCAAGTTTGAATGCTAGTAGCTAGGGTTACACCTTGTTGTCTTTCAAGCCTCTGAGAAAGGCTGTTTCCAGAAGCCTTTCTAATGTTCTTAGTTTTTGGTTACTATAAAGTGTTAAGAGAAGCATGCCCTTGCAATGGTTTTTGGGGCTTGTTGAATATAAGGGACTAGTCTGTTGCAGGACACACATTCACCATGTCCCTGCGAAGGGTAGATGGAGAGATACTATCTCTCCATCACAGGCCAAGGCCCTGTCTGTGAGCTTCCCACAAAGATGATAGTCAGGATCTGGCCCTGTGGGTGATGTGCTTTCAAGTCCTTTCAGCATGTCCTGGACTCTGGACGTTGCTGGGGTGGGTTCTCTAGAGTTCTCCAGCCCATCATGTGTGCTCTGGGAACCCAGGAACAGTGCTCAGGTCTCAGGTCAACCCTATACTGCAGGGTCAGTTTGGATTTGTACTTCGATAGCATGGGCCAGCTGGTTAAAGTAAATCTCTCCCACCTGTCTGTGTACAGACATGTGCATCCAGTGGGGTCTGGCTCTCTACTGTGCTCAGCTGATAGACTCGGTTGCAGAGAAGAAGGGCCTGGCTTGTTACAGTTTGTAAGTCCCAATGACCATAGCGCCTTCTACTGAGGGCCTCCCACGTGCTTTAACAGACCATCTCTCCACCCCTCCTAACCCCTGTTTCCTGAGATCCTGACACAAAGGTAATCCTAGGATGCCTCTATGCTCCTAGCTTTCAGGAGAACCTTCAAAGGAGCCCAATGGGATCCTTCACCTGATACTTCACAGCTTATAAATGATCAAACTAAGGAGGCAGATGGGGGCCCCATTCCAGACAGGTGGGCAGCCGGGGGCTTTGCCCTCCTAGTGGTCTGAATTACGTTGGAAATAAAGGAGTAGGTGCTTAGCTCCCTCCATTCATTCAGCAAGCCCAGAATAAGCCAGCATGTGATGTGAATCTCCCCAGAGGAGCCTGCCCCCATGGCTCTAAGCAACATGCACCTCTCTGGCCAGTCCCTCCCTCACTGCCTTCATCTTCTTCAGTCCAAAGCTGGGACTGTCTGGAGCAGAATGTGCCGGGAGCCCCTAAGCACAGCAGAATGTCATGGGGTGTCTTCAGAGCCATGTGGAATGATGGCTCCACTGTCAGGTTCAGCCCCAGCATGCCTGTGTGCCCCTGCCCTCTCCCATAGGCCCTTCTGGATGCTACAGAAACAGGGTGGATTCACTATGTCTTATGTTGCTCCTCCCTGCCAAGGGCCGTCCCCACATCAGTCAGGAATCCTCCGATGGTGACTTTTCGGTAGGGTCATTGTGGGGTGGGGAGGCAGGGAGCAAGGGGAGAGAGGTCACATGGCTGTGGGGCGGTGGGACCTGTAGGTCTGACAGCCTTAGCCAGGGTTAGTGCTGGACTCTCCAGGCAGAACTTCTTATTCTCCAAACTCCATTCTACTCCATGGCTTTCGACTAACTAGACCTGTCCCACCCATACTCTCACACTTGCCACTCTATAAAGTTGAGTGTTTATAGGTGTCAACCACATCTTTTCTGTGCCTTCATGGGCTTCCTGTAAGCATTTGCTTAGATGGCTGTGTACTGTAGACAGTCCAAGTTGATGGCTAAAGTCAGTAGTTCCCTGTGGGATTTGTGTTGTTTTTGTTCTCTTGGGAGTCAGGGCATCTGTTCCTCTGCTTGGCAGGAGCATTAGCAAGGGGTTTGGCTGAATCTACAAAACTAATTAAGAAAAGAGTATCAGATTGCCTTACCACCAAGTGTGTTTTTGACTGAAGAAGAAATGTAAAAATCTTCTACTAAAGAACTAGGATGTGGTAGGAATATGAAAGCACTCACTAGCCTACAGCACTGGCCACACATATCTCTGGGTCCCAGATTCCTGTGCCATAGGCTGCAGCTTCATATGGACCATGTAACCAATGGCAGGAATCATATAACTTGACTGTGGGAGGGGTTAAACACACACACACACACACACACACACACACGCACAAATGGCAACAGGGGCATGGCTCAGCAGTTGAGAGCATTTGTTAGGCTTGGCAAGGACCCAGGTTTGGTTCAGCACCCACATGGTGGCTCACAATCATCCGGAACTCCAATTCTGGGGAATCCAATGGCATCTGAACGCCAAGGACACCAGGCACACCTGTGGCACGCATACATACATGTAGGCAGAACACTCATTCTCACATACATAAAGTAAATCAATCTACTCAAACTTTTGAAACAGTAAAAATTTTCTGAACACGCAGTGGTCAAAAGTTAATTTGAGGTCACTGCATTCATAAGGTAGCTAAGGTGCTCCGACCATACCAAGTCATGCAACTTCAACGTCATTTGCTCTGAACACAGGAGGTAGACACACTGCCCTGCACGTGCCATCACACCAGGCACTATCAACAAACACTGCCACAAAGAGTTCCCTTCAGACTTGAGGCCATTGTGTTATGAACTGCACTGTTTACACTTTACATACAAATTTTTCTCCTTTTACAGAAATATAATTAATTACAGAAAACAAGAACTTGAATATTTTCCTGTTGACATTCCTCAACCTGTAGGTATCAAATTTGTCTGTCTATGGATTATGCTGCGTTAGAATATTTTAATTTAAAGGTTGGTAGTTGCCAGGTGTGGCGGCACACAAATTTCATCCCAGAGCGTGGGAGGCAGAGCCAGGCAGATCTCTGTGCGTTCCAAGACAGCCTGGTCTACAGAGTGAGTTTTAGGTCAGCCAGAGCCACATAATAGAGCGACCCTGTCTCAAATAGGTAAAAATGAAAATTTCTAATTGATGCGCTGAAACTTTGGGTTTATTAAAAAACAAAACAAAACAGTTAAGTAGATTCTGGCTTAGAAATAGAACAGAATTTCCAACAATTTCTAAAATGGCTTAAATATACTTCTGCATTCTGTACTGTGTTTGTCACAGTGACAGTCTTAGCATTGATGATCACAAAGCCAAAATATCATTCAATTCTGAAAAATATTGAAGACATGCTACATTCTGCGGTTTTGACTCTTCATGCAGGATTCAGTTCTTTATGTAAAACAAGTACGTCCATCTCATTAGCATGCAAATTAGCTTTCCTCTTTAATGAATGGTAAAGTATGTCCAAGAATTGTTTTAAAATAAATTTTCAATGGTTTATTAAAAGTAAATGTTTGAACATTATTAATCTGTGAAAATAACTTAGGCAAAAAAAAAAAAAAAGGGAAATTAAAGGTTCAAGAAACCCTATATCTTGCTAGGCAGCCATGATAAAGGCCCAAGAGCAAATTCGATGGCCCAGGTAGGCTAGAAGACTATAAGCACCACAGGACCTGAGGACAGTGTGCAGATTTTGACGGTGACAACAACCATGAATGCCATAGATCAGCGGCTCCAAGGCACAGATGGTGTGGAATGGGAGGTGCCTGGGCGCCGAGGCACTTAGCACTGAGCTCACCTCTAGTTACTCTAACTCTGCTTCTGGCACAGGTGTCACCAGGATCATCACCTCATGCCTGTCCCACACAAGCTAGTCAAGGGGGAAATGCTCTTCCAGTGTACTCTTTGACAGAGTCTTTACGAAAAACACCTTTATGAAATGTCCCCCCTGCTTAGGCTTCTCACCAAATTCCCTTGTCCCTGGGGCCCTGAATCCATGCGGCTCAGGGAGGACAGTGTTTTCCAAAAACCCATTTTGTCCTGCATTGGCTTGCTAATGACTGTGCTTAAGGGACACACTTGAAAACCAAGGCTGCTTGGTGAGAACACAAGGGAAGTTTTAGAAGGAGATGGGATGGCTTAATTGGACCAGGCTTGAATGGCTACAGTGACTGAAAGAGGGGATGGGGATGTGTCTGCCCTTCACAGAACCTCCAAGCAGCTAAGCCCAGGTCCGAGGCCTGCAACATAATTATCAAAGCACAGGCCGGGGGCAGACCCTGCAGCTTCCAGCCCACCATGCCACATGACAGGCCGAGTGACGACAAAGAGGCTTTCAAAATGAATACAAATAAGAGAAGACTTATGTGCTTGCATCAAGGATTAGAAGAAAACCTAGTGGTACAAGAGGGAGCTTTGCAGCAGGGTCCCCCTCCAGCAGGGATCAGAAAGTGGGCTCTGTACCCAGAGGAGAGAGCCAGCCTAGGGTTCTTTCAGAGGGACACCTGAGGATTCAGGTTCAGAAAGTGGGAGGTGAAGAGATGTGGACATCTGCACAGGTCCTCCGCTGCTTCCCCGGAGCTTGCTCGGGGAGACAGGAGGCTGAGATTGGGCAGTACAGGGGATGGAAGGGAGAAAAAGGGACAGGGAGAGAGAAGGCTATAGATTTGAGTTGGCTCGGGAGGCAAGTTAGGACCCACATGAATTTCAGAAGACCATGGTTGTAATTCTCTCCAGCGACACTGTGAGCAGCAAAGAGCCAGTGAAGATCAGTTCTGCTCAGTAAAGACGGTTAGCCAAGGGGCTGTGATGAAGGGAGCATTACGAATGCAAGATGGAAAAGATTTAAAAAAAAAAAAAAGGAAAAAAAAAAAAGAATGCAAGATGGACGACTAGGTGAATTAAGCTGGTCTCAGGAAGATGTCTACTCTTATATGACTTTCTTAGATTTTATGTGGATACATAAAATTACTTACACACGCAGCACGTGAACACACACTAAGCATGAAAGTTGGAGCAAAACTGTCTAGGAGAACAAAGGGGAGTAATAGGAGAGAAGGGGGGAAGACGAGGGTGAAGCTATGAGAGAGAATGTCAACATACAGTATATACTTCCATGAAAACATCCTTATATACTGCAGTATCACATTCAGTGAATACACACACAAGGAAACATTTTCTGAAAATGCAAAGGGTGACTGGTTTGACCTTGAATTCTGGTTGGATAAAGAAGAGGGAGACACAATAAGAGGAAGGTGGGAAGAGGAAGAGGGAAGATGCAAATGCT